ATCGGCTTTAACTAACTCAGCGATCACACAGTTAGTGGGTAATGTGATGTCATGGTTAGTTTCGTTTCTTAGTACAACAGGTACTTTGTATGGACCATGTGAAGGTAAGGAAATGAGGCAACAGTCTACAATTATACCCCCTGGTAGAGAACCATTGGTGGGTTGTTCAATGAGTGCATAAGGCTCATGCTTGTTTTGGCTGGGTTGCATAAACCCTTCTAGTAACAGTTTTTTATTTGCAGGGAGAACTTCTTGGGTTCTCCCTCGAAGCTTCACCACACCAACTCGTCCATCTTTGCTTTGTTTTTTTCTGACTGCTAAGGCTTTTAGCACGTGTTGGTACCCATAAGAGAGTGCCTTGGAATCAGGTAAGTTATTGGCAGACAATTGCTCATACAAAGGATCGAGTGTGTTTGTGCCAATGAGTAGTGGTGTATCAGAGTTTGAGCTTATATCCGGAACCACTAACGCAAGGGTAGGTAACTCAAGTCCAGACTGATCGAGCTCTTTTGGAAATGTGACACTTATCTCTATGTATCCTAAATAAGGAACTGCTTGACCGTTTGCGCCCTCGACTTCTAACAGATTACTGATGGGTTTAATTGAGAGGTCAGGTAAGTGTTCTTGGTAAAAAGAATTGGCAATGGTGGTTACCTGGGACCCTGAATCCAGTAAACAATTACATTCAACACTGTTAACTGAGACTGTAGCTGTGCATCGCCCACCCACTAATCTTTTGGGAAGTTTTGGCACTGAATGAGCATGAACTGGCTTGCAAAAAAGTCTCTCTGTCCTTTCCTTAGAGGGACTTGGTTCTACTTTAGCACCTATCTGTCCCACGATAGGAGCTTCTACCGGTTTAAAGGAGGAGACTGAGCAATTGGCTTTGACATCTCCCACTCGCGCTGCTTCTGTCTAAGAGCAAGTCTTTTAGTTGCAACTAGTGCTGGATTTGGCTCGTTGCTACAGCTAGAAGCTATGTGCCCATCTTCTCCGCACTTAAAACAGTATCCAGGCTTTGGTCTGGGCACCACTGCTGTTATCTGCTGAATCTGTTTGGGCTCATCTGGAATTTTAGTCCCCACACGGGGTTTTGACTCTTTTTGAGTTTTCTTTGCCTTTTTATCTGTGTTGTTAACCTTAAGCTGTGCAATTTGGCTCCTGAGCTCAGCGATTTGTTTGCGTAAGTCATCACAGTTATCATCTATTTCCAGTTCACAAGTGTTTTTACTCTGAGAGCATGTTGTTTGCACATTTGAATACACTCTAGTTCGTTGTGCCCCTAAGTGTTGTTTCATGCGTGCTGCTTTAGTAGCCTGTTTGTCTTCTTCAGTGCGCAGTTTGAGGAGAAGTGCTGTAAAATGAGGCGGGTTGTCTTTCTTTTGTTCGAGTTGCAGGTTTGAAATCAGCGAGCTGTCCCAACAGCCTCTGCAAAACTGCTTGAGCAGCTGCTGGTCGGCGTCACTGGAGGAAATTCCATTCCTCTGAATAACTAGGTTTAACAAGGTGTATAACCTCTGAAAGTAATCGGAAGGTTTTTCACCACTGTCCTGGTTTGTGTTTAAGAAGCGAGCAAAGAGCTCGTCGCCGTCTTCGACAGCTGCGTAAGCTGAATCGAGATGTTCAAGGTACGTTTCCGGGTCGGATTTTGGACTAAGAGCTTTAACGATGCTCGCTGCTGGGGCTGACAGACTCTCCACGATTCTTCGTACAATTTGGGACTTGGTGAGTGAAGGATCATTTATGCATAACACTACACTACTACGCCAAGTATCATAGTCAGTTTCAAAAGAAGGGTGTGGAACTCGCCCTGAGAACGGTTTTAGTCTGTATTGTGAAGTAGGCGGAGGGATAACCTCACTGCTTTTAACAATGTGTTCCACAATAACTCGCTGAACCTCAGGTGTGTTTAAAAGATTTGGTGGAATGCAAGGGTTTTGTTTTCCAGTCTCTGTAGGTGGACAATTGTCCTTTGAGTTGTTCATATAGTTAACTTCTGGTGTTAAAGGCAGGGAATATGTAACTTGGTCACTATGGAGCATTGGCTCTAGTTCAGTGACTGGTTCAGATGCATGGGTATCCCTTCCTAAAGATTCCCCAATTTTTGCCAGTTCCTCCATTAGAAGGTCTTTAAATGATTGATTGCTACGCGCAGCTATGTCCCTGAGCTCTGACAGATAGGCATCAGTGGCAGATGTGCTAGTTTCTAGACTGTACGCGCTGGCTAGGTCTTGAATATGGAAGAAAACATCTGGGTTCCTAGTACAAGGTTTGTCATAGGGTAAACATTGTTTCTTTAATTCCTTAACAGTGGCTTCATGTTGAAACTCCACAATAATCTGATCACAGTTTGGTAACTTAATGCGCCTGTTAACTGGTCCGAATCCTTCCATAAACCCAAAGACTTCGTTATCAAGGTCTGTATCAGTTAACCCACTGATTAAAACAGCATTTGAAACTTTGACCTTTTCTGTTTTCACAACTTCCATTTTAAAACACTCAAAAGTACCAATAATGCCAAAATGGCAAACCACTGTGACCTCCAGGCACTCTTATGATGTCAGTCAATGGTTAGCTAAGGTAACAACTCTACAATTCTCCTGGCTGGCTCGCCAAGTTTTATGTAACCGGATTACAGGATACAATAAGATAATTAAAAGAAAAAATAAACAAATGGGCCAATAATTAGGTTCGGGGAGAATTGGAGGTTGTTTAAGAATGACTGGAGTCACGGGTATAGCATGAAACGGTTTATATACTAAATTTTAATAATAATGGGAAATATAACACATAAAGATAACACACAAAAACAGATGAAAACAATCGACAATAGTAAAATGCTCGGTATGAGATTTGATCATATGAGTCACAAGTCAGCCGGCGTCAAGTCAAATCCCCACGCTTGGGGTGAAAGTCAGAGTCCGGTGGTGCGATTTTTTCCTACCGCACCGTTGAGATTGTTCACAGAAGAGAGCAGTCTGCTCTTCAGTTACTTGAGATGTCCTGGTTCGTTCAGTGGTTAAGGCTCGCCATCTCCCTCGTCAGGAAGAAATCCAGTTCTCGTTCCAAGTGAGTGATCATAGGAGTCGGGATCAAACCCAAGGAAAAAAAAAACCCAGCCAACGCGCTCCAACGGTTCCCTCCTACAGAGGATTGGTTCACTCTGTCGTCTCCACACAAATCTATAAGAATGGAATTAATTTGATAAGCTATTTAAGTTTCCTTTTTTTTTTAAGTTGCATCGTTAGCTTTTTCTCTTCTTTTTTCTTTACTCACCGCGTTGGTTCCAAGTTCCTAGCTCTTATTAGAAGGAGTCAAGTCCGCCTCTCCCTCTATCTATGCGGCACCCAAATCAGGGTTCTTCACGGCCTCGACCGTTGTTTTTTTTTCTCTCTCTCTCTCTCTCTAACCGCTCAGTCTTTGCTTTCTGTATCTGCGTGCTGCACAGCCGTTTGTCTCTCCTCTCGCTCAGCTGCGTCGCACGGTTTTATTTCGCGGAGGCGGGACTTATTTCTCTCAGCCAATGAAATTTCAGATTCCCACCTGGACCAATAGTATACAGCTTTCCTCTTCTGTTTCTGTTAGTGATGTTCAAGATTCTTGTTTTAACCGATGTTTAATATTAAACTCGTTATTTTAGTTATTCACCCTTCCAATAATTCATTATGAAATTATCTATTAGTTAATTAGATATCTATTAATTAGTATTGTTAATTTCCTTAATTTATATTTTATATTTTATCTAAATTGAGGATGGATCATATTAGTAAGCCAATTAGTTAATACCTCATTAAGGTTCTAGCTTATGGGTTACAGAGCAACTGAACAAAGATGCTTTTGCACAACCCTCGTGCCGGTTTGGTGCTAAACAACATCTCTGTTCTCTTTTGGTTAAAAACAAAACGGGTTGCTCAGCAAAATGTAAACTGGAAATTGAGGATGAAATAAAATATCCATTCATCTTCCTCTGCTTATCCGGGTTCGGATCGCGGGGGCAGCAGCCTAAGGCCCAGACTTCCCTCTCCCCAGCCACTTGGGCCAGCTCCTTCGGGGATCCTAAGGTGTTCTCTGACCGGCCGAGAGACGTCGTCTCTCCACCGTGTCCTAGGTCTCCCATTAGGTGTCCTCCCAGTTGGATGTGCCTGGAAAACCTCACCAGGGAGGCGTCTTAATCAGATGCCCGAGCCACCTCAACAGGCTCTTCTTGATATGGAGGAGCAGCAGATCTACTCCAAGCCCCTCCCGGATGACTGAGCTTTTCAACTTTTCTCTAAGGGATAGTCCAGCCAACCTGCAGAGAAAACACATTTCTGCCACTTGTTTCCACAATCTCATTCTTTTGGTCCCTACTCAAAGCTCATGACCAAAGGTGAGGGTTGGACCGTAGATAGACCGCTAAACTCAGCTCTCTGTTCACCACGACAGTTCGATACAAAGCCATCTCAATCTTTCTCTCACTCCCTCACCCAGGGTCGGATAAAGAAAATATCAGTTATCTCAAATATTGCAATCTTTGGTGTTTAATACTAAATAGATATTCAAAAGCAGTGCATAGATATATATTTTTTAAAACTTTCATAGAAACTCTGTTACTTTTCTGTGGTGCAGTTAAAACTCCAACCGCTAGGTGGCAGCAGTTTTTACCACCTTTATTCTGACAGAATGCCAAGCTCTGTCAATAACACTGGATGTGTCAGAAACGTGTTTACAATTCTGTCATTCTGACACCTTGATTGCTATGGTTACGAGACTATTAAATCTCAACGGCCGCGCTAAGCACAACAGAGAGGGACATGTCTGCTCTCATTGGGGAAAAGGTTTTTCGGGAATCCAAAACTATGTATTTTTTTTTTTACTGGTTTTAGACTTGTATGAATTGGGATATTTAAATATTTCTACATCCATCTGGAATTGTAGACAAGTGACCAGCAGGTTATTAATATTAAAAAGAGTATTTTAATTTTTCAGTTTTCATCTCCCCTGTGCTCTCGTGTCCACAGTGTTGACGGTGTGATGAGGACCATGAATACAGAGAAGCTGCTCAAAACCATCCCCATTATCCAGAACCAGATGGACGCCCTCCTGGATTTTAACGTGAGTGTGAGGCGAAGCCTCGTAGCTCTGCAGAGCTGCTCATCCGGAGTTTACAGGTCACACGGAGGAGGTTGCTGCCCTTTTATTAACATATGCAGGCTGTTTGTGTGTCAACAAATCTCTGCAAAGAGGCTGTGAGATAAATGTGAGATGTTGCGGCTTTCTCTCAGGTCAATGCCAACGAGCTGACTAATGGAGTCATCAATGCAGCCTTTATGCTCCTCTTCAAAGACTCCATCAGGCTCTTTGCTGCTTATAACGAAGGCATCATCAACCTGCTCGGTAAGAACTTCAAGGAACAATTTAATTTCACCTTCTTTGTTTTTCTCCTTGGTAACCAGAGGTTTGTTTTACCAAACAGAGAAATATTTTGACATGAAGAAAACTCAGTGTAAAGAAGGCTTGGACATCTACAAGAAGTTTCTCACTCGGATGACTCGGATATCAGAGTTCCTCAAAGTCGCAGAGGTACTTTTGTTTTTATAAGACATAAGCCCGCGGACATGAACAGGACGTGACAATACCTTGGTTTTCTTTCTAAAACAGCAGGTGGGAATTGATCGAGGTGACATCCCTGATCTCTCTCAGGTAGGCAGCGACCTTTCTGAGTGATCTAAAATATAAAAATGTTTTTTCTTGCTTTTTTCTTTGCAAATGCTGCCCTTTTTTATTTTAGCAGCACTTTCTTTGCGGAGTATAAACATGCAGTCAGCACTGGTGTTCTTTAAAAAAAGGCACTTTGCATGGTTTCTGTTTTTTGGCAGCATGAAAACCTGATTCTTCTTCTCTTCCTCCTGTTGTTCTGCTTCTGATTTTCCTCCTGCTCTTCTAACCCAAGTCTAATTCAGTAAATAAAGGTGTCTCATCCACGCTGTTGATGCAATCTGCTCCCAAATTAAAACCAAAACAAAAAATTTCTTGCAAATATCCTCCCTCAGAGAGCTCGGTTTAAAATGCACATCCCTCCTAACTGTCACCACCTTTATATTCTGTATTTTCCCCTTATCTTTCCACTTTAGTTCACAGTTTGTGTAAGTACAGTTATTTCACTCTTCTACATCTGTGACTTGCCTCAGTGTTGTCTTTTTGCATGCCTCTGCTCTGACCCATGTCTCCTACATCAGTTGAAGGAAAAAACGCTCGCCGTGGTAAATTCTGCTCACTGTCATTGAGGTGAAACCCAGAGTAGCTCATCTGGTGTAAAATGGCTGCCCCCGTTGTGCTTAGAAACGGCCGATTCAACAACGCCGGGGTTGTTGAAAGCGCTGTTGGTGCAGTACACCATCCCACACAGATGTTGCTCTCATCCAAAGTAGCTTTTTGGCTGGAATGCAGTCATCGATCACTGGTGGGTGACGGATATACCAGAGCTGGTCAAATGCATAAATTGGCTGATTTCACTAATTTTTGTAGCGTATTTGATGAGATGGAGCGCTTTCTTAACCGTGGTCACCCACCACTGTTCGTTATGGTGTTAATGGCTTTTCTACACAACATTGTCTGCACCTCAGGTTGCCGCTGACTGTGTTTTCTCACAACAGGCTCCCAGTAGCCTCCTCGAAGCCCTGGAGCAGCATTTGGCTTCTTTAGAGGGAAAGAAAGTCAAGGACTCCACTGCAGCCAGCAGGTGTGTGAACCTTCTCTCATCCCCGCTGATTTCTTCTACGTCAGTTCAACACTCCCTAGTCCTAGCACCGTCTGATGAAACTTAGCAAGTGTCCCTTGTCCTGCAGGGCCAGCACTCTGTCAAATGCAGTTTCATCGCTGGCCAGCACAGGGATGTCTTTCACCAAAGTGGACGAGCGAGAGAAGCAGGCTGCTCTAGAGGAGGAGCAAGCTCGACTCAAAGCTCTCAAGGTTCGCCTAATTTGAGACATTTGTCGTCCATTTGAAGCGTTCCTGTTGAACTGAACCTTCCTCTCCTGCAGGAGCAAAGGCTCAAAGAGCTCTCCAAGAGGCCGTCGTTTGCCACCACAGACACGTCACCAGTTTCCACCACAGGGGGCACCATCAGCACAGCACCAACCATTGACCTCTTCACACCCAGTTGCTCAAACGGGTACTGCCATTTGAAAGGCGATGCTCATCTGAGTTTTTATTAATCAGTTAAACATTTAGAATTAAGCAGTTAATAAAGTCAGCAACACCTGCTGAAGTTTCTCCAAATATTTGCTATGATTTGAAATGTCTTCTCTGACTTAATTTGTGTGTCTGCAGTGCGGTGAAGATGGAGAGCGACCCTTTTGACCTGCAGTCGTCTTTCCAGCCCTCCATGCAGTCCGGCTCCGCAGGGCTTCCTGCAGCGACGGCGTGGGCAGGTAAACGCTCTCCTCCTCGGTACCTCTAACCAACGCCTGCATCTCTGGACTCCTTCTGGACTTTTTGGTTCTGCATGCTCTCCTCTCGTTGTTGTCTGACTCTGATGCCCACCTCTTCCTCTCCACTCTCTTGTCTTTTCTCTGTTTTCCTCTGCCCGCGTAGATCCTTTCACCTCTACTGAAGCGGGAGATGATTCCATGCCAAACCTTAACCCTTTCCTCTCAAATCTCGTTGTCGATGCCACTCACTTACCTGTCGTATCTTCAGACGGTGTTAGCTTTTCCTCTACGACATCTGGTCATGAAGTGTTTCGTGGTAACAACTCATTTTGTTACTCTTCAGAAGTCTTGTCCCTCTTCCTTTATTTGTAGTCTCTTATCTGCATGAATATTCAGCATGTTGAGTGTGCTGCTGTACTCTTTTGTCTAAATTAACCAATTGTTCGCTCATGTCAAACCAAACATGTATTATGTTTAGGGTTGTCACGGTATGAAAATTTAACCTCACGGTTATTGTGACCAAATTTATCACGGTTTTCGGTATTATCGCGGTATTTTTTAAACGGTGTTGCATATGTTCAGAAAGCATTGATAGTCCTGTTCTACACAAACTGAAATAGTTTTGAAAAGGTTTAACAGTGTTTATTAAACCTAAAATAACACAAGCCTTAGCAAAAGTGCAACTTTTCACAAGTAAAGGAACAAATATCTTCTTTTTCTGGAACATGTTACAGTAGTCAGTGCAGGTTTAAATTATACAAATCCAAACATTCAAAACATAAACAATATGTAAACAAATCAAAGAAACACCACTTGTTTTCTCATATACTTGTTTTCTTCATTATCAAAATGAAAATCTAAAACTCCAGTCCACACTTGACTTGAGCACTGTACAAGTCAACCTTAAAAAATATGTATTTAAAACAAATAGCCACTTTAAACAAATTACTAAAATAACTACTACACTATGTAATCAAATCCAAATGTTCAAGTATAAATGGCATTGAATAAGTAAACAAATCAATGACAAGGAACTAATTATATATTTCTCTTCATCATCAACAAATAAGATGCTTCATCCAGCAACAGGGTGTCCGTGACACGGTTTAAATGCTGGCAGAGGACGCTGCGGCTGCAGTATATAGTGACTCGTTGCATTCTCCCTCAGCCAAAAGTCCTCGCGTCATGCATTTAAGCTAAAATGCTAATGTTAACTTACCTTGCACTGGCTGTAGAGACGTGGGTGATGGTCACGCAGATGTGCCATGAGATTCGAAGTGTTGCTGCCTTCTGCAGACACTTGTTTCCTGCACGTTCTGCAAACGGGATAGCAGTCTTCTATTAACTGTCCCTCAGCATTTTTCAGAAATCCAAAATATGCCCATACTTCCGATTTAGTCTTCTTTGAGGGCTGATGGATGTCCTGGGCGCTGCCGTCTCCTCCTTCGGCCATTATTTCAGCTTCAAAGTTTTGGTGCCGTTGCAAACTAAAAAGTGCGTGTGTGCGCCGCGGGAACTTCAGCTGAAGCGACGGTGGCTGGTAAGGGTCACCGCGCTGAAACCGCGGCCACGGTAAACCCACCGAGATAATTTAGTTTTTTCAAAATTGGACGGTTATTTTTATTGTCAACTTTTTTACCGGGGTTTACCGCTATACCGGTTACCGTGACAACCCTAATTATGTTATATATATTGTGTTTTTGTGCAAAGTTCACTCGTACCGTTTATGTCCTCCTTCATTGTTTAAATAATTTTAGCATTAGCCTGGTAGAATGAAGTAGACGCGCTCCTTGTCTTGCTTCTCCTGCGTTTAGCTTCACCATGATTGTCTGCTTTAAGCGTGCTGCTGCATGAGATCTGTTGAACATCAGGGCTAAGTGGGCAAACATCAGTATTCCTCATGGGCAGTAGAGGTCAGGGCACATGGCTCCCAACTGGTAATGAGAAAACACTTCCATAACACAAATGTCCTATTTTCACAATTTATTTTAATCCAGAAGAGCTTTTTCCTCCGCTCTGCAAGATGTGGAAATTTGAGTTAAATAATGGTTGTCTGCTGTTGAACTCGTTGAATTTAGACGGTAGTTTTAAAATCGGTCCATTTACACACGTAGCTGGGTTTCTGCTGGACAAACATCCTCTCCCGATTATCTAGGAAAGAAACTTGGGTCCACACCACCTTGTTTACAGCAGAACAATCCAGTGCTTCGTGAAGCATATTCGTAGGCATGCCAGGCCTGTAGGTGGCAGTAGTTCTCCAAATTGTCTGTCTTTGCTGAAAAACATTCCTTGGACATGGAATGACTAGGTGGCAGATAACAGTCTTCAATGTTATCCTTGCCTGTGGTCTTCTTAAAAATCCCTAGAGCTTGTAAAAAATAGCAAGTGTAAACACGGGGTACATATGGGGGCATCAAAGCATGGCAAAAACCAGAAACCATGGTTATTTTCATCCACATTCACTTTTATGTGGATGACGGGCCAAACGTTAGAGAAGTATCTTAAATGGTAAATGGTCTGTATTTGATATAACGCCTTCTAGAGTCCTGGAACCCCTCAAGGTGCTTTACAACACAATCAGTCATTCACCCATTCACACACACATTCACACACTGGTGGGGATGAGCTATGATGTAGCCACAGCTGCCCTGGGGCGCACTGACAGAGGCCGAGCACTGGCGCCACCGGTCCCTCCGACACCACCAGCAGGCAACGTGGGTTATCTTAGTTTTGTGGAATACTCTGCTACGTATGTGCGTGGTCTTAGGGCTGAATACTCGCCTGGCCACAACCCATAGTCAGAGCTCAGTCGAGGGATGGACTCTATGGTTGTCCATCAAACGGTCTCCACACTCCATTGGACAGCGCCAAGACCAGTCAGAGCAACAAACAACATAACGTATTCATAGCGATAGAAATCAGAGGTTAAAGAAGTACCTCTGTTTGGTATCGGCAAATGGGAATTGCCTCATATGAAATCCAAACATCCCGACTAGGGTTGTCACGGTGTGAAAATTTAACCTCATGGTTATTGTGACCAAAATGATCATGGTTTTCGGTATTATCGCAGTATTTTTTTAAACGTTACATTTTCAAAATAAACCCTGTAAATCAGGAAAATATTGTCCTCAGTTAGTGTCTAAATTTTGCCTAAAATTTGTTATTTTGTAATTATGTTTATTTGTTTACATTTTTCCCCTTTAGTCTTTAAAATACCAATATTTGCCCATAACTTATTTTTTGTCTGTTGTCAACATTTTAAAAATATTAGATCAGATGATACTCTGTACTCAAGTAGCCTTCTAGTCAGATACTTTTTTTTTACCCATACTGGAGTACTAAACCCTATATCAGGAAAATATCGTCCTCGGTTTGTGTCCTTCCAGTGAGCTTTGCAGATGTGGGGAAATGTCATCAGGCAGTAATCATTGTTAAATTCATAATTATTCTCGGAGAGACCAACTCTTATCTGCCCCTGGGAGCCCCGTAATGCATAGCGTCATTTCAACATGGCGGTGTCCGTGACACGGTTTATATGCAGGTAGCGGCGCTGCGGCTGCTTTATATAGCGACTCGTTGCATTCTCCCTCAACCCAAATCCTCGGATCAAGCATTTTAGCTAAAACGCTAATGTTAGCTTGCCTTGCGTTGACTGTAGAGTTGTGGGTGATGGTCACGCAGATGTGTCATGAGATTTGAAGCGTTGCTGCCTTTCACAGACACTTTTTCTGCACGTGCTGCAAACAGGATAGCCGTCTTCTATCAGCTGTCCCTCGACATTCTTCAAATATCTAAAAGATGCCCGTACTTCCCACTTTGTCTTCTTTGAGGGATAATAAATGTCCTCCTGAGCGCTGCCGTCTCCTCCTTTGACCATTATTTCATCTTTAGCTTCAAGAAAGTTTTGGTTGTAAACAAAGTGCACATGTGCCTTTGGCAACTTCAGCAGATGATACGGTGGCTGGTAAGGGTCACCGCGACTACACCACAGCCACGGTAATCCACCGAGATAATATAGTTTTTTAAAAACAAGATGGTTATTATTATTGTCAACTTTTTTACCAGGGTTTACCGCTACACCGGTTACCATGACAACCCTAATCCCGACTCATCTTTTGTATGAATTGGAGCGATCCATATCTTGCTGATTGAGTTTGCATCTACCGCTCTTCTTTTATTATTAAACAGTTTGGTGTTGCTTTGTAAAGATACCATAGAGCTTTAAGTTTGTGTCTGTTGTAACACTATTTTTGATTCTCCAGATTGTTACAATCCCTTTTTTGACTCAAACTCATCAGTTTCAGCCAATTACAAACGCACAGTGCGGATAGAATCGTCCGTCTCAGGTACTTTGTTGGATCACCACCTCAGCCTGTCTTTCCTAAAAACATCAAACCTACCATGATCCCCAATGCCATTATTTTTAAGTTTTATTGTAGAGTAAAAGTATTATAAAGGAAGAGTTTTGCACTTTTGGGAATAAAACAACCAATTTTCTCTGTAGAATACGGTTAAGTACTCGCATACCTCGTTTTCTGCTTCATTTGATCCACTTTGATTCTTTTATTTGAAAATGACTGGAGCCAAAATAAGGTTTTATTTGGGTAAAGCAAGAAAAAGGGTGATTTTTACAATATGCACTTCAAATGCTTTTGTAATAGGGATGTCCCGTCTGAAATAGGTCCAATATCGGCCAAAAAACACTCCGATTTTATCGGAATGCATCAAAAATCTCCGATATGAGTTGTCTATTCCGCTTTAAATGTAATTCTAGCAATTCTAACCAGCAGATGCAGCATGCAAAGCCTGCATGATCAGAACCGTGCACGCTAGCAAAGTAGCAAGGAACAAGAACGATGTTGGCCATATGGCAGTATTTCGGTATCGGAAGTGAAAAAGTTGTTTTGGGACATTCCTACTTTGTAATCCTGGGTAGTTTTGTTGGATGTTTGAAAACGGGATGCTCGATCCTCTTGAGTAAAAATACTAGAAATGCACAAATGTGTGATGAATTAGAGGACGTGTTGGGTCGTGTTTTCCCCCAAAAGTTTCAGAATTTAGAAAATGTCGGTTTTAGATCTTTTGTTTATGTAGATTTTAGAGCTGGGCAATACATCGAAAATGTATCGTTATCGGACTTATCGTGATGATTTTTCCCATTTCAATAAATTTGATAAAAAAATGAAAAGGTGTGTGTAGGTTGGCAATATTCATGTCCCTTTAAGAAGCTGTACCACCTCGAGTCACGTAAAATGTGACAGCCCCATCTAGTGGACAACTTTTGTTTCTGCACACACCTTTAGTTACCGTCAATTTATCGTTATCGAGGTGAAATCCTCAATATATCGTGATATTGATTTTCGGCCACATCGCCCAGCCCTAGTAGATTTGTTTCAATGCAGTTTATTTATACTTTTACATTTAAAGTGACACAAAATGTCTTGATGTATGTGAAGCCGTATTCACACCTCGTATAAAAAGAGCTAAAGACATGAAGTCCTAAGTCGTATCTAATGATCAGAAATAATCACTAAAAACAGAAATTCCCAAAATGTAAAACTGCACCTTTAACCCTTTCCCCCTTGGTCCATTATTATTATTATTATTATTATGATTATTATTATTATTATTATCATCATCGTTTGGTGTTTTGCTGTTCTGGTCATTTACCTAATCCCTAAACTAGACGGAGGTGTGGACCTGTTAGCATCTTCCTGTCTGCTGTCGTTTCTCACCTGTCTCTCTGACTTGACCTTGAAGCACCTTCTTCCTTTGTTTCCTCTTCTTTGTCTTCCTGCTTCGTGTCAGACTCCTTCTGTGGTCCAGTGTCGGTTGCTCAGCACCTCCCACACCAGGCCCCCTTCCCCGCTGAGCCCTCTGCTGTAGCAGGTCTGTTCAGAGGTAGTGTATAGAAGGCTCTTCGGCTCCCGCAGCAGCAGATAAACGCTCGTTTCAGCAACCCTGCTTCTCTGCTGTCTTGTGATTTTTATGTTTGGGAATCCAGTCCGAATGTAACTTTGTAACCGGAGCTTCTTGGTTTCATCCTGAAGGATACTCAACGCCACAGGCTCCTCCACAGCACTCAGCAGGAGGACTTCAAGTGGACTTTGAGTCTGTTTTTGGAAACAAAGCCGCCGGCAGCAGTAGCCTCAACTCTGATGGTGAGGATTCAAACACCCGAGGTTCTGTTTCTCTCCATCGGGTTTGAGCTGCAGCCGTAAGACTGTGAAGTGGAGGTTTTCTGATTGTTTAATAGTCTCAATAGAATAATCGCACAGCAAAGATAAAATTCCAGTTTTAACTTGGAATCGCTCAGATTGGTAGGTTTACAGGCGTTAGTCAGACGTTTTTATATCTGCTGTCTCACAAGAGACATAATTGGTCATTTTTATACTGTACTGTTGCAGCAATGCAAGTTTTTGTATTATTATTTTTTTTTTTTGCAGTTTAGTCACTTAATGTTTAACCTCAAGAGAACCAGCGCCCACAAACGCAGAAGCTTTATTTTTGCTTCATATAATCTCGCGTTCAGATTACCTTTGAGCTGTTTTCACCCAGCTTGTCCTGGGTTGATGCAGGAGACTCCTGCTGGCAGGACGAGCATGAGACACCTCCCCTGGGTGAGGTGCTCAGGCATCCAGGAGTAGATCTCCTGCTCCTGTTGAACTGGAGGAGCAGCTCTACCCTTCAATCCCTACCGGATGTCTGAGCTCCTCACCCTTTAAAGACTAAACCAGACGCCGTGCTCCGTAAACTCATTTTGGCTGCTTGGATTAGCGATCTCGTTCGTTTGGTCTTTACCCAAAGCTCACGACCGTAGATGAGGATTGGAGTTTCCGGATTAGCTTCCTCTTCAGTACAACCGCTGCTCCAGTCCACCTTTTGATCTCCTGCTTCCTCCCTCATTCCCAGAGATACGAAAGCCCTCCACGTAAGGGCCTCTCCCTCTCGAGTCCCCAGAATCAGGTGATTTAATCACCTGCTCACGTTCTGCAGAAGCCTGTTGATGACTTAACCGTTTAAATCGGCCACGTCGGGGCAGGGAACGAGAAGTCTGCCTTTGCTGCTCGTTTTCAGTTTTAAGACGAGTTGTTTTCTAAAGAGCAAACTATCGATTTACAAGAACTTAAAACACAAATATCCAATTATTTCTGACAGATTAAAGGCTCGCTACTTTAGATCGGAGTCTAATTGTTCTGATTTTAATTATTTTGTCAGATCTTGCTGGAGGCATCCTGAAACCGACTCTAGCTGGCTCCAACCAGCTGTCCAATCAGCAGCCTGAGAAGCTGGTGTCGGATGACCTCGACTCCTCTCTGGCCAACCTTGTTGGCAGTGAGTGTTTGTTTTATTATTATTATCTGAACTAATTAACACACACACACACTTACGTTAAGGCTAAAACACTTGTCAAGCTGACACCCTCTTGATGAATGTTTTTCTTCTGTTTAGACCTCGGCATCGGGAACGGCACCATGAAGAAGTAAGTGATGCTTCCTGGTGTGTTTGTGTCTCTCTGAGCCGCCGCTAACGCCAGCTGTGTTGATCCACAGTGACATCCACTGGAGCCAGCCGGGGGAGAAGAGGATGACTGGCGGCACCAACTGGCAGCCCAAGGCGGCGCCGACCACAACCTGGAACCCCGTCTCCATGGTGACTCTTACACACGCACGCACACACACACACACACACACACACACACACCACTGTTGTGCTCATCCTCTCAGCTGCTGCAGTTCTCCTGTTGTTCTCTGGTTTCAGTAATTCTGCATCAGAACCTCCGATCATCTCCTAAACATCTTACCGAGATTAATTTAGTATTAATTTATAAACCCTTGGGTTCGAGAAAACGTTTGAAGCTATTAAAATAGGAAATTTGGAAAAGAAATTAGGACAAGAAAAACTAAATTATTTACTTTGAAAAGAAATTAATAAATGGCAGAATTGAGAGTGTAAACAGTTTTAGGTTTGTGTAATATAATTAAAATAATATTAACAAGTAGGGCTGCACGATATTGGGAAAACCTGCGATATTCGATAACAGTGCTTAATATTGCGATATCGATATTACTCACGATAAATGAACAAATACTAAAGTATGCAGTGTTGATGTCGTCTGGCGTGTGACGTCTGCTCTGGGTTCAAAGCAAACAAAAACTAATGCATGAATTCCATTACAACATAACATTTTTATTGCAAAAATATGCAGCTGCACCTGCTACTGTATTAGCAGCAAAACAACAAACTGCATGCATGCAGTTTCTCAGTGAATTTAAAACATCACCTCCACCATAAAACCTTTTCTGATGCTCCAAATACAGAAAAACATCCCTTACCAGGGTTTTTGAATAAATAAAAAAAAAATCTGTAAATAAGTTTAAATGTTAAATAATAGTTAACATCACTTAGATGCAACAGCAAATTCTCTCATTGCTACTGAGCATTTTCTCCACTTATGTGGTTATGATATAAGGCTGTTGCTGTAATTGGGAAGTGAACTGTGCCGGGCCAAACTAGGAGAATATTAAGATTTTTTGAGGGAAAGAGAAAAACAATTGTCTACCTTTCAGAAGATTAACTGGCAAAAAACTACATGGAAAATATGTGAAAACGTTTGTCTTTAACCCCAAACTGAACAAGTTTACCTAGATCTTAGAAAGCAGCTCAGATGATGAAACTGCTACTATGATTCTGATAACAAGCTAACAAATTGAACTAGCTCCTCTAAAGATAACCGGCTAGCAGAGCTTCTGACTGACAGTTTATGTGCAGCAGCAAATCAACTATCCTGATTAACAAGGTTATAAAAGCTCATAAAGGAAAAATCACTTTGATGTGTGGGGGAACTTTTCCAGGCCCTCTTTAGCAGCTCAGGGTGGGACTGGGAGGAGAGTGCTGTAGCCTTTTAGCTGGAAGCTAACCGGAGTCTGGGGCTAACGGTGGGTTGGTTCACCGGCACGTGTCGGAGTCAGCCCGGTTATTATCAGCTGCTTAACGACACCGAGCGGACTCACGTTCACGTTTGAAAGCAGCGCTGATTCCAGAAACCTCAGCACAAAGTGCGTTCGTTTATCTGAGCCTGCATGACGAACGAGCTGCAGCGGAAAGCGGGGGTGGAGCGGAGATGGTGGAATTTTTGGGTAAGGGTCTACGTAGGGGGCGGGCGTATTACGTGAATGGACCCATCTGATTGGCCGCATATCAGAAGGACTACATTTGATTGGTCAAATAATACTTCTGTGTAAAAAACAGAGCTGGTTTACAAAAAGCTGATGTATGACAGGGATGGAAATGTTGAACCAAACATTTATCGCCGTTTTTGACGCGCTTTGCGATGGGCCTATCGCACGTCCCGTTATCGCCATGACGATAATTTTTCGATATATTGTGCAGCCCTATTAACAAGGAAGTTGGTCTTACAGCATTTAGATTTTCATATTATAGCAATTTATCAAATGTACAGTGATCCAACTTATAGCTTTTTCTATAAAACACGTTTTTATATTTCAGCCTCCATCAATCATGGCCTTTCCTGCCACCACACCTACAGGCATGATGGGATACAGCATGGTGAGTGTGAGTGTGGATGTGTTTGCACCCGTCAGGCGGACGCCTGTGAACACGGGGTATCCACTGGGTCTTAAAGTATTAGAAGTTGCCAAGTAGATTTAGGGAAAGTTGCGACTCTTTTAAAGTCTTATTAATGTAGTCGAGTCTTAAATTAGGTTGTTGCTGTGGATTTAAATGTGTTTGTGTCATACTCGCAAACTTTCAGTGAAAATCAGTTTTTGATGTTTATGTGGGTCGAAGAGGTTTTGTTTTGGGGGGGGGGGGGGGGGCCTTTATAAGAATGGGTTTTCAGAGAGAGGAGGGGCGTTCATCTTGTTCACAAACCATCTTTGTTGTAACAGGTTACGAGTCGTCTTTTGACCAATCGTAGTCATGGAGACGGCATGTGGAATGTCCTTAAGATGCAGCCGTAGCACGGCGCTAACAGCGCTTCAACATCTCGCAGCGGTTGGAGCGTGAAGTTAGTCAAAAACCAAACTGCTGTTTTCTGTCGGGGACTTTAGTGGGTTTCAGCCTTTACAGACGCTTGCTGTGGCTCGTCATGTGATTTTAATATAATCCGATTAAAGTTGCGTAACCTGACCAGGTTAAGTAACAGCAGGATCGTAGGATTTGTTTGAGCACACTGATGGTTCATAAACGATTTGGTGCTTTACCACCTAGTGGTCACTTAGCGTTACTCTCAGGGGGCACTGGGGGGGAGAACTACCACTTAATGAAACCCAAACCAAATTCTAGCCGTTTAATGGTTGAATAAAGACCGATTGGAGCCATTTATAAAATAAAAATATAGATTGGGGATTTTCAAAGGTAGAAATCATAAATGGAGCCAGAGTTTCTGTTTTGTAAACAGGAAGTCTTTAAATCAGATGCTGATGAGTGATGTGATGTGTGTGAAACACCCTGCAGCCTCCACAGATGGGCTCCATGGGGATGATGAATCCACCCACCATGATGTACTCCCAGCCCGCCATGAGGCCACCCAACCCCTTCGGCTCCGTGTCGAGTGCTCAGGTGGGTGCAGGCTGCAGCCGGGTGGCTTTTCCAGTAAAACGGTGTCTCCATTGTCCCGTGTGGTGTGCCCATAGCTAGTCGGTGTGCGCTCTGTCGTCGGTGTGAACACAGACGAAGATGATGACAGTTTTAACAACCAACCCTTCACTCTCTGGAGCTGAAAGCGACAAAACTGGATCATCATCTCTTGTTTTGTCTTTCCGAACGGCTCCTTTTTTTAATAATTAACTCATCTATCATACATCACAGCTTTTCCGAGCTAATCTCATCCCTCCTTCAGTCTCTGATCTGACTCTGACTTGTCCTCTGGTCCTCCCACTTCCTGTATTAGCCCTCTGCAGCCTCTAGTCCTTCCAGCCAGAGTCCTCTCCGAGCCCCTGGACAGGACCCGTTTGCACACCTCTCTCTCAAGGATTTCTTGTAGAGCATCTCTTTAGGTACATCATGCTCTTTGCTTGCAGATGCACCTGCATGTTACTTGTCCTGTGCAGATGTTGTTTTTAATATTTGTGTTTTCATCAGGTCAGATAGCTGCTTTAACCCGCCTTTTGTTGTCGTCTCTGCTGCTTGAACATCACGCTTGTTTTTGAGTGAAACCCATTCTCATTCACCATTCTTCCTCCTTTGTGACTCATTGCTGTTTGTCTGTTCGCCGAGCTTTGTTCCATCGGAGTTAATATTTAATCATAACTTCCAAATAATCGCTGCCAGTCTATTAAACTATTTATTCATAAAAACAAAATTCATTTCCCAAGTTTGCGACCAACTGCTCCAACATCCAGATAATCCCTGCAAGCTCTGAAGCACACGCTGGTTTTCATTTAAATCTAAATTATATTTGATTTTATTGAAAATCAATTTTTTATTGCAAACTTGATCTGAAAACTTAAAGCTCTTAAGAAAACTAATAACAAGTAAATGTGCAAATGTCTCTGAATGCCGAGAATTCGGCCACGAACGACACTTTGGTGTTTTGTCTAAATTCAACCTCGATTTGTTCGGTTCCTTTCAAGAAAATCAGATTTTTATCTCAGAAACATTTGATTCTATAGTTGAAGATGCTGACAATAAAAGTTCAAAATACTTTTTTTTTGTGAAATATTATAAAGTCGTATCTAAAGACGAGGAACGGCCCAAAAATGTAGTCCGGAAAATGATCAAATGTAATAAAATCTCTAGTAATAAAACGGTTTTATTTCACGAACATGTTTTTTTTTTTATTCTGCTGCTTCCATGTTTGCTCATAAAAGAGAATTTTTACCACCAGACCACCTCTGCACACCGTTTGTGTGAACACGCGTCCCGTTTCAGCCGTTAAAAGCAGAACAAACGTTTTGAATCGCCTCTTTCTGACATCGTTTGTTGCTTCTTTTCTCTTTCAGATGCAGTTCATGTAATTTGAATGAAGTGTCTCAGAAGATGAAGCACTTAGCAGCAAAACGTTGTCCCCGTTGCAGTCTAACTCTTCAGAGAAGCATCCACACACACACACACACACACCCTCAAATACAAGACACGCCAACAACACAATGGTGCACAGACTGTCCAAAACCATGGTAACCATGTCCAAATGACGTATTGGCGATAGCTCACACCCTTTTCTCTGTAATCGAAGCGAAGAGCGACGATGCTTCTGAACCCCTCCGCCCCTTCGGAAGGACCTCTGATCCGTTTTACGGTGTACTCTGTAACGATCGTTTGGGTGCTGAGAAATTTCAGTGTTGTGTATTTGAAGAAGCTGCGGTCTGATGTAAAAGGCTTCAGCGGGGAAGGAGGTGGAAGTAAAAGAAACAAACACCAAGAAGAGCGGTTCTTCTCTTTCTTGATCCGATCATGAGTCATCCAGAACCCTTGGGTTATTTAACGGTCACGGAGTAGTGATGCTAATGACGTTTACACCCCTTTAGTTTCTGTCTTTTTTACCGTGTTTACAGTAGACATTCCTAGTGTGTTTGTATTTATTTATGTTTATTGGTTAAGGTTTGTGTGTGTGTGGGGGGGGGGGGGGGATAATAATGTAAAATCTACCGTACGTTGAACACATGTGGGAGTGCTTCAGCATTAAAACAAGGATCCCAGACTATCATTAAGAGGTAGAGTTGAAAATAGATATATAAAAATTACACCTTATTAAGCGGAATGATAGAGCACTAAATATTCAGTTTTGTGTTTAAGAGAAGTTTTTACTAGATGAAAGGTTCCACCTTCTCCATCGTACTCGCAGTGCCGGGGTTAGAGTACGAGTTAACCGTATAAATAGTGTGCCTATAGAGTTTAACTTTGCGATGGATCTGAAAATCACTTCATCCACGAACCGGAAGCGACGCACTGGGTGGTGGGCTCCATTTGCTTTAAGCTTGGCATGCCATTGACTCACTGACTGTAATCAAGGCTGCCTTTACTCTGAATGTGAAAGAGTTGTCTTCATGTTGCACACATCTTTCCACGCTGCAGTTCCTCAGCCAGAGGAGTGAGGGTGTGAGGAGGCGGGCCGGTGGGGCGGTGCTTGCTGGTTAGTTTTGAGGCGGCAGGAAGACGTGATTGGGTGTAAATTAATGTATAAATAAAAGATGCAGAGGAGCGGGGCCCGAGCGGAGCCGCACTGTTGATCGGTGCGATTGTGTATATAAACACTGACTGTTCTTTGAGCGCAAAAGGTGAAAGATGTATGAAATATGAAAGCAATTCAATCAAATTTGACTCTACCTAAGTTTGATTCAGGATCTTCTCTGCGTTTGTCTCAGCAGATATTTTCTGTATGTAATTAGATAGTGTAGCAGACAACGACTGAAGTCTTTCTTTCTTTTTCAAATAAAGAGCAGCTTCCACAAACACTCGTTTGTTTTCTTCAAGCATTGTAATTTATATGTGGTTAATGTGTAAGATGGCAGCTCCAGGGGAAAATGCACTTCAGCTAAAGTGGGAAAGAAGTGTTGGAAAACAGCAGATTCCCTCGATCCTGTGCTCCCTCTGTAAAGGGGATGTGAGGATTTATGGCAACAAAAAAGGGTCAAATGTCCTGAGACATCCCACAAACTACACCAGTCATGTTGAATCTATAATACTAAATGTCTTACAGGTGTACCCGGCTCTGATTTGCATCTTTATTGGTTGATGTTTAGTAATCTTCTTGCTTTGGGTTCTCTCATTATTAAGGAAATTACCTGATCGCTGTTTGCTTTTACAAACTGAAAAACCACTGAAATGTGTTCCTCTTGAAGCTAAAACAACCCTAGGCCAGTGGTTCTCAATCCTGGTCCTGGAGGGCCAGTGTCCAGCATGTTTTAGTGGTTTCTCTGCTCCAACACACTTGATTCTGTGGTTAAATAACCCGTTGAGCAGCTCCTCAGGCTCTACCGAAGCCTGTTAATCACCTGCTGATTGAAATTAGTGTGTTGGAGCAGGAAAACAACTAAAACAGGCTGAATACCCGCCCTCCAGGAGTCAGGACCCCGCAATAAACAGGGCAGCAGTAACTCAGCAGGTAGTTTTCCATCGGAATGTTGTTTGATCCCAGCTCCTGGCAGAGAATTCTGTTGTATCTTTGAGAAAGACCAGCTTTTCCTCCTGGTGGTGGAGGGACCTTTGCTCAGAAACCTCGCTTCCGTCACTGCGCCCCAGGGCAGGTGCGATTGTATTGTTGTAACTTATCACCATCATCGTGTGAATGGATGAATGATTCACTCTAGTGTAAAGTACTGGCCATTTATCATAAACCCACCAAAGTTTATGTTCGATCCCATGAGTTAAACTCGTATTTTAAATATTTATTTTGGTTCATTTTTCTTAACCATTCCATCAAGATTCATCTACAGCAGGGGTACTACTCTTCCCCGAAGGCCAGGATCCAGCATGTTTTAGTTGTTTCCCTGCTGCCACACACCTGATTTTAATCAGCAGGTGATCAAGAGGCGTCTGCAGAGCCTGATGAATAGATTAAGTGTGTTGGAGCAGGGACACAACCAAAACATGCTGGGCACTGCCTCTTGGGAAAGGTAACTGTAGCCTGGCCTGCCACAGGACGCATTTGGCAGGCCAGGCTAATGGGCCATTCCCATCTGTACCTGGTCGGCCCTGCCCGGATAGCTCCAGTAGGCCCCAGCCTGGCCCAGTTGATTCCACACATCCTTGCTTAGGTATGCAAGGAATGCAGTCAGACATTTTCAGCTTCTAGGTAATCAGCATAATGAATGATAATGAATTGAGCATGCCTTAAGCCCATGTGGGCTGATTCGACCCACCAATCAGAGGCTTGCTGTAATGGAAGGTGTGAATTTGCTGTCAGCAGTGGGTGTGCTGGCCCTGGTCAGCCTGAAGCAGACCACCTCAGAAAGAGGGCTGAAAAACAGTCTTGTTGCACCCTGAAAAAAAGGCAGGCCACCAAGATATGTAAGCAAGCTATGCTATCCGGGCCGGGCCGACCAGGTACAGATGGGAACGGCCCATAAGGTAACTGACCATCCCTGACTTACAGGCTAACGTCAATAAAACATAAAATGACAAAATTTTAGGTCTTTCTAGAGCAGTAATACAATTTAATTGGCCTGCAGTACTTAAATCGCCCACAAGTGGGCAGGAGACTTTTACAAAAAATCAAAGACACACGATTAAGAATGTACTAATCATGTTAAAGAGATTAACTGTGTGTAGTAAATGTGACTCATTTGGCCCTGAAGAGTTAAACTGGTTTAAACTACATTGTGTGTTGGAAACTCAGAAATAAAAGTCAGTAATATGCTCTTTTTTTACTTTATTGTAAATTTGATAATATCTGGATATGTATTTGTCTTGAAAGTTCTAGAAAGCCTTTAGTATCACGCTGAGAAACATTTATCACCAGATAAATAACAGATCGGTGCGGTCCTCTCACACCCTCTAGTTCAACAAACACTGGCGACACCTGCTGGACGCAGCGGGGTTTTACACCCGCACATTAACGCCCATCTTTAATTTTATCCGATAAAATCCAAACCTGAGCTGATCATAAAACGTCCGGATCTCTTTATACCACCAGTGTGCGACTTTAGACGTATAAAGAGACCCCGCGTCTCCCCGGTTCTCCTCCACCGGATCCTCCCCGTCTCTCCGCCTGAGTCCGCCCCCCTCGTCTCATCTGTCGGACGGACTCGGCGCATCCAGCAGCAGCCGCAGACCACCAGAGAAGAGAAGGAGGTAAAACTTGTATCTAAGTTTTAATTATGCTGGGAATTCTGAAATTAAGATGGTTAAAAACCTCTGAAGGTGTCCTGTAATGTAGGCAAATCCTAAATAAACATGCTTCTTCTAATTCTTATGAAAGATGGCTGAGTAATTGTCACTATAGTGTAATTAATTTTAAGTTGTGTAATAATCAGAAAAATAGCTTAGTTGTGGGGAAATTTAAATTCAGGATCATGTGCTGTCAGAACAGGATCTGTTAGTGACTTACCAGCTGTGTCAACAACCTCCTCCTTTAATAAACTTGCAGAAGGAGCAGCAGGACATGTTTTACCTTTACATTTCTGAGAAAGACAAAGAAACTCATATTTTATCAAATATTTCAGAAAATAGAAAAAGCTCGATGTTTCATAATGATGCCATTTGAAAATTCTAGGGGAAAATGTCAACAATTTTCCTTCGTCTTGTGAATTTCTGGATGTTTCGTCACATGCTTTGATCAGGTTAATGTGTATTTAGCAGCTATTTCAAGTTATTTTCTGAATTAAGTTAATCAGAAGTCAAGATAATAAATAATGACTGAATTTTCCAGGTTTTTGGGATTATTTGTTAATTTAGGCTTTGATGAGACTGCGAGAACTTGTTTTTCACGTGTAAACATCTGGATTTGTTCAGCAGAGGTTGCATTTGATCACCTGGAGCCATGATCGACCTGAGCCACCTGACAGAGGAGGAGCAGGAGGCCATAATGATGGTGCTGAAGAGAGACGCTGAGCTGAAGAAGGCAGAGGAAGAGAGGGTCAGGTACAAGTTTGTGTTTCCCTTCAGCTGGAGAGTTTAAGGCCACCGTTTAAGTTAATGTCCTTCCAACACGATGAAGGGCAATCCTCCCCTAACAGAATAACACAATAAGAGCTTCTCCAAGCAGCTGAGAAACCTCAATGTGATGAGAGTAATCTGATTACAGATAAGTGGTACGATTACACACACGGCAGAGGACCGTTCTGGAGCAGAAAACATCGCTGTAGAGTCACAAACCTCATCTAAAGGAGAAAAAAGCTTGTCAGTATTAATAATCTGAATTATTTTGCATCTCCTACAACAATCCAGCACTTATAGTAAACATTAACAGAATATATCTTGATTTTAAAAGTAAAATTTGATGCAAAACAAAGAGCTTCATGTAAAAGGATTAAGCCAACAGCCTGTAATTAATTTGCTTCTCTCCGTTTTCACATGACAGCCATGCTTTCTATGAAGATGAGTGCAGATGGACATTTTTAGGCTCAGGAATTTGTTTTGATCCCTCTTTGGTTTAATTTTAGCTCAACAGAGATATTTTTACAAATTGTATTCATAATGTCGGCCATGTGAAGTTGTTCAAATATTTGGCTTTAGTCTCAGGAAAATAATGAAAAACAAACTTAATTGGCTGTAAATTTATTTAAGAAAAAATGGGAACAAACATGCCAAACACATCCTGATTATGAAAAATAACTAGAAATGCAAGCATCTTGGAGGGGATAACATTTTAAAATCATTAGCCATGAATTTCATTATTAAATTATTCAGAAAATCTTTTAAAAAGACCATATTCAGGGAATAATGACCTTTGACCTCTCAGGAAGCACAAAAAAATGCAGAATAAATCGCTTCAGAGGAAATAAAAAGCTATTGGACTGAATAAAATGGAACTAAAGAAACAAGACTAAACTTAACCTGTCAATGTGAGCTATCACATTTACGTTTTTCTTGTCTTTCCTTGACAGAAATTTGGAAAAAATCCTGCCCAGCAGCTCCCAGCCGGAGGTCAAGCTGAAGTATCTGACGGGAGAGTGGTTTTACGAGGCCAAATCTCGCAGACACAACGATAAAATCCACGGATCTGAGATTATTTTGGCAGCCATGAAGCAAAGGAAGACAGGAAGTTTAGGTGTCTTATTCAGTACCAGTTTACAATAAAGGTCCCTTTATTAACGTTACTTAGTGCATTATTAAGGATTAATGAACTACTTAAGTGCTATCTGCTTAACCATATTATTATTAAGCAGATACCCCCGGCCCTTGGTCCTAACCTTAAGAAAAAAAGAAGACAATCTTTTACAGCTCCTTTCAAGATAAAAATCACTAGGAGCTTCACAAACAAACCAAAAAAGTATCAAAAAGATTTCATAAAATTATAAAAAATATGTTTAAAATGAGAAAAAAATTATTGTGATTAAAAAAAACAATGAAAGGAAAGGGAGAGAGAAAATGAATAGGAAAGCAGGAAATCTGTGGATCACGGGGAAAGGTGGAATAAGGAGAGGGTGGTGATGAAGGTCACACCAAAGCCTGAACTGGTGAGTTTTCAGCTGCCTTTTAAAGGAGACCACCGAGTCCACTGATCTCAGGCTTAGGGGGAGAGAGATCTAGAGTCTGGGGGCCACAGCAGCAGATGATCTGTCACCTAGCCTGGTGATCTGCACAATCAGTAGGCTTTGGTCACTGGACCTCAGGGACCTGCTGGGGGTGTAGGGACTGAGAAGATCACCGATGTATGATGGTGCTTGTCCATGTAAGGTCGTAAAGACCAGAACCAGGATCTTGAAATGAACCCTTAAGTTGACTGGCAGCCAGTGAAGCTGGAGGAGAAGCGGGGTGATGTGGGTGTGTTTGGAGGACTTGGTCAGAAGCCGAGCACAGGCATTCTGAGCCAACTGTAGACGGTTCAGGGAGGTTCTGCTCAGACACGTGAAAAGAGAGTTACAGTAGTTTAAGCGTGAGGAGATGAAGGTGTGGAGAACAGTCTCAAGTTCAGGGCGGGACAGAATGGGACTCAGCTTCGCAATGTTCCTGAGATGGAAGAAGGAAGAGCGAACAAGAGAACTGACATGAGAATCTAGGGTGAGGGCTGGGTCAAAGGTCACGCCAAGATTCCTGACAGAAGGTTTGGTGTGAGAAGCAAGCTGACCAAGAGAGTCTCTGACTTTGGGAACCAGCTTGTCTGGGGCACAGATGAGGATCTCAGTCTTATCTTCATTCAGCTGAAGAAAGCTCCCAGCCATCCAGGTTTTGATAGAGTCTAAGCAGGTGTGTAACAGCTGCAGCTTAGACATCTCATGGGGCTTAAAGGAGATGTGCAGTTGGATGTCATCTGCATAAAGATGGTAGGAGACTCATTTAAATGAGCTCAGGATGTGCTGAAGAGGCAGCAGATAGAGGAGGAACAGTAGAGGCCCCAGCACAGAGCCTTGTGGGACACCACGAGTGAGGGATGTATTGGAGGACCGGAACTTGGAGATGGCCACAGAGAATGATAAATGATAAATGACCCGCACTTGTATAGCGCCTCTCAGAGTAAGGACTCCAAAGCGCTTTACACTACAGTGTATAATTCATCCACATTCACACACTGATGGTGATGAGCTACAATGTAGCCACAGCTGCCCTGGGGCGCACTGACAGAGGCGAGGCTGCCGAGCACAGGCGCCACCGGTCCCTCCGACCACCACCAGCAGGCAAGGTGGGTTAAGTGTCTTGCCCAAGGACACAACAGCAGAATTCTCTGTCCGGAGCCGGGATCGAACCTGCAACCTTCCGATTACTGGAATGCTCTGACAGATAAGAGGAGAACCACTCCAGAGCAGATCCTGATGGGCCTACCCAGTCTCTCAGCCTCTCCAGTAGCAGGTGATGGTCAACAGTGTCAAAGGCTGCAGTCAGGTCCAGCAGGACCAGAACAGAACAGTCCCCTGCATCACTGTGAGTCAGAAGGTCATTAGAGACCCTAAGAAGAGCTGTTTCAGTAGAATGAACTCTACGAAAACCTGACTGGAAGCTATCATAGATGTTATGTTTATCAAGAGCAGCTGTGAGTTGTTTAGCCACAATTTTTTCCAAGATCTTGGAGATGAACGGAAGTTTAGAGATGGGTCTGAAGCTGCTATGGAGAGAGGCGTCAAGACTCTGCTTTTTAAGAAGCGGGTGGATTACAGCGTTCTTCAAGTAAGCAGGGACCTGACCAGAAACCAGAGAAGCATTCATTATAGAGAGCATGCTGGGACTGAAGGACACTTAATAGTTAACAATACAAGGAATGTTTAAAAAAGGGACCCTTTGTTTATTAATGCTTAATAATGCACCAAATAATGTTAATAAAGTGACCCTCATTCTAAAGTGTTACTTTTTATTCTATTTTATGTGTATTTTGGATAAAGATAATCTAAGGCAACCTTAATGCTCTTCTTTCTCCTGCAGATGGGTCTCTTAGAATGGACAGACCCAAGATCAGTAGCAGGCGAGGTTCAGACACCGTGGCTCCGCCCAAACCTGTCAGATGTTTGGAGGCGTCACCGCCACAAGACAGAAAGTACACCACCACTCTTATCAATCTTTGATACACTTCCTTTATTTTTAACATCTGCTGTTAAGTCAGCCATGTTTTTAGTTCTGCGCAAAATTATTAATTTACCCATAATTCCTTTATGTTTTGCTACAAAGGAACCAGACTTTCTCCTCTAAAATGTTCTTGATCGATAGGTTTTCTTACCGTCTTTTAAAGGTTGTTTGGACTTTTCAGCTTCAGCTAACAGGTGACTCGCTAGCTGACCCAAGCTAGTCACTTGCTAGTAAATTGCTAGGTGACTTTCTTGTTTTAAAAGGCATTTTTGGTTAATGATTTATATTATCACTAGCCACTGTGTAGCTGCATGTTTGGTGGCTATGTTGCTTCACAGCGGGAAGGTTGCAGGTTTGAATGCGCACAGCGACCTTTCTGCGTGGATTTAGCATGTTCTCCCATGCACACGTGGGTTTTCTCCAGGTGCTCCAGTTTCCTCCCACAGACCATAAACATGCATTTTAGGTTGCTTATAGACTTTAAATTGTCCCTAGGTGTTGTCCCTGTGCTGGACCAAATCTAAGCTTTTAGCACCAACAGGATGACTTGATTAGCTATTAGCTCAAAACCTAGCATACGGTCTGAATGATTTATCAAGTCATGTATCACATCTCTGCTGGATGTTTCATAAAAACATGAATTTCATGTATTGTTCAAGAGCTGTAGATGTGGATTTTATGGCCCGAGATGTCGTTTCTGTCCCTCATGTGTCCAGTTTTCTCATTTAAAAGCACAGAATGTCCTATAATATGTCTTAAGAGTTTGCAACAGCTAAAGAAGAATAATTATTATTTTCTGTAACACTTTACAATAAGGGTCCCTTTATTAGCGTTACTTAGTGCATTATTAAGCATTAATAAACTATTAAATACAGTATTAACAACTGCTTAACCATAATATTTAATGCATTACTAAGCAGACACGCCCCCCGACCCTTTGTCCTAACCTTAAGGACACTTGATAGTTAACAAAAACGGTAATGTTTATTACCCTTTGCTTATTAATGCTTAATAATACACTAATGTTAATAAAGGGGCCATTATTGTAAAGTGTTACCATGTCTTCTGGCTCCTTGGACTCAAATTAAAATGAAAGTAGGGTTTTTTTTTTGGAAAAGTTTTAGAGTTGCTTCTTTTCCATCTTTCAATTCTTTTTAAAACACAGAAAAGTTTTATTTACCTGCAACGTTTTGTTTGTCTGGGATTAATAAAGTATTGATTGATTGATTGACTGATTGATTGATTGATTGATTGAGGTCAACCTGATGATGTTTGCACCTGCAAATGAAACGTTGCAGGTAAACAAACCTTTTATGTGTTTTAAAAAGAACTGAAAGATGGAATTTGAAACTCAACACAGCAAGAACACAACAACGTTGCTTCTTTTGTATTGAGATTCAGACTCAGTTGTAGCCTACATTTAGTTTTCTTCCAGAGACATCCTGTCACTCAGCCTGGATAAATATGCGTGTGTGTTTAGTGTGTGGAGTGTCTTGTGACTCAGCTTGTTTAAATAAAGGTGGTGCGGCCTGGAAACAGCCTGTTTAATAACCCAGCACCGCTCAGAACACACCACACAGATAACAGACCAACAGTTGAGCAACAGTTTTCCCCAAGATTGATCTAGTTCATCCACAGAGAGTTGCTCGAATAAAATTATCTTACAGCTGTAAAACCGTCAGCACAGCGGTTTCTTGGTCTGCCTGAGTGTTCGTGGCTCCCGGGTCAGGGAGTTTAAGATTTTTGGCGTCTGCCTGATAGATCCCGGTGGCTGCCTGGTGGGATCTGGGTCCCTGGGCTCTGCTGGGTCCCCGGCGGGGGTGGTCGCCCCTGGGTCCCGGGTTGCTGGGTCCTGGGCTCGGCCGGCTGGGGGGTGGGAGGCTGCAGGCGGGCCTGTGGGCTTGCCGCTGGTATCTCCCGGGACTCTGCCAGCTGCTGCTGTGGCCCCCCGGGACAATCCTCTCTGACTCTCGAGGGGGGCAGGGGCTTTTCTGGTCGCAGTCTCCTTTGGGTCCCTGCGCTCTGGGGCAGCTCCTGGATCTCTGGGACTTGGCGCTCCCCCCGTCTCTTACACATTTTTGGGGGGCAGATCTGTGGCCCCTCACACACTCTATTGGATGCTCCTATAGAGAAACCTTACGTATACAAGCGCGGGTACACACACAGGTGCTCACATGGTGCTCTCATAAGTATGGACTTGGGCACGTTCAACACATGACTTAAGGCTGTGGTTGGCACTAAAT